CTGGCCCCAACTGAAATACCACACTCCCGTTAGCCCAGTCCCATGGTGGGGGTAGGGGCAGGGAGGACTGAGGTTCAAGGCATCAAGCAAGATTTGCTCTTCTGAGGTTCCACGGTTAGTGGATTTTATGGGCCCCCTAGGCTCTGGGCTGAGGCCAAAAATGAGTGGTTAAGTGTGCAGGACAGGGCAGCCAGTGAATAGGATAGGGATGGGAGTGCAGGAGGGGGTGAAGGTGCGAGGTCTGGGTGGGAAGTAGGGTGTAGAAGCAGGCTGGGAGTGTCTGGCCGTGGGAAGGGAGCAGGAGCAAGGGGGAGGCAGGAGTAGGCTGGAGGTAGGGTGGGGGGGGGGAGGTGGGGTTGCAGGGTCTAGGCACGAGGGTGTATGCGGCCACTTACTTGCTTCCACATCGTATGTGTAACAGCCTCCTGCTGCTCCCATTCACCAGAAGGAAGCCCCAGGAAGTGTGTCCCTGCAAGGCTGGCCCCCAGCTGGGAGAAGGAAAACAGCAGTGCACTCCGCTTGTTCCTCGCACACCAGGGCAAGGAAAACTGTAGCGCACTGAGCCAATTTTGGCTTGGATTGTTCCTCACACAGCGGTACAGGCTCCCTGCTGTGGGGGGAGCAAGAGGGAGCTGAACTGGGGCTCCAAAATATCTGGTTCCCTAGAGAGCCATATTTGGCTTGCAAGCCATAGGTTGTCAACCTCTGCTCTAGACCTAAGAGGGCTAGAAACTTTAATTAAATCAACATATCATGTAATTACCATGCCAGAACCCCAAGCTTTAAAGGAAAAAACTATTATGATACATTCTGTACTTGTGAAAGTTTTGCCACTGTAGCTATATTGTCCAAACTCTCCTAGCAAAGTATGCAACTTATGCCAACCACAGAATGTTTTAGCTAGTCTAGCTTATGTTTGGAGAGGAAATAAATTATACTGCCAAAAATATGTTTGCTTGTGTTACGACATCTACAGAATTGCTTTTGTTAGTATAAACTTTTCCCCAAATCACTCCTCTCTCCCACCCCCCCAAAATCACATTCAACTGCTCTTGTTATACCAGCAAAAAGCTTCTAGTCTAAACTGGTCCTTAGGGTCTTAACTGTAGCATAAGCTGAATGGAAGTGAATTATAGTGCTGGCAAGTACTGTTTAAAGTTCTTACAGCATCACTAGTATGCTTCCTGGTTATCCTAACCCATTCAGATTGTAAACTGTCAGTCATGTCAACCTTCACATTGGTTTAGGGCAGATCAGAATAATGAAATTCAGGCCATGTTTAGCTACCCCATTCCTCCCTACCAACCCATGAAAACTGAGTTCTGATATGAAAGCAACAAGACTGCATTCATTGTATGAAGTATTCAGTCACCAGAGACTTAACAATTCTGCATTGCAAAGGGAAAGCTGACACTTCCAAGATCCTCTCTTGGAGCTGGTAAATGGACAAAGCACCAATGCAACTGTCTATTACTAATGAAATTACTGAGGGGGAAAAAAGGGATTTCAAGCAGACAAGGCACATTATATAATCTTATTTCTAGAACAGGAAATAGAATAGCATACCTCTCCTGTGCAGTGACTCATTCATTATGAGTTTATAATGAAGCTCTGTAATCAAATGAGAACACAATTTAGTTTGAGCTCTCTCCAACCCAACTTCCCTTTTCCTATTGTAGAGTAAGCCAAGCTTGTCCCTAGAGAATGCCCCTCACATCTGCTTTCAACATTTCTAATAGACTGAAGATTTTTTCATCAAAAATATAAGCCCATGAGTGTTCCTTCTAAGATTTTGCCAACCATGAGTGGAGTGAGTTTTGGCTTCTGCACCAGGTCATGTGCACTGGTTTGGATGTGTGCCACCATGGCACCCAATTTATTAACATACACATGTTCCTGGTCACCAGAGCAGAAACCCTCTCCTCTCCCTCCACTATGCAGCATGTCCCATTCACACCCACCAGAGCAGATTTCCGCCTTCTCCCTCAGCCATGCAACATGTTCCATTCCTGGCCACCAGAGCAGCCACCCAGCACCAGTGACTGCAGCAAGTCCCAGCCCCTCACCCCACCATCTCTGCCAGCTCCGCCTGCTGAAGCAGCCATCTGCTGTGCAAGTACTGCTGCATGGCTCTCCAGAGGAGGTGGGCAGGGGAAGAATTTTTTGTGCATGGCCGCACAGGTGCACACCTTACTGGGAACTATGAAGCCCATATATTTATTGTACAAGGGGTGAGGGACCATCTATAATGTGAAACTTAAGAGTTCATAACATTTAAATAATACTGAGATGGGAGTAGAGATTGGAAAAAGTTAAAGAAGAAACATGTCAGTAGTTTTAAGGCAAACTACAGGCAGTCCCCGGGTTACGTACAAGATAGGGACTGTAGGTTTGTTCTTAAGTTGAATCTGTATGTAAGTCGGAACTGGCGTCAGCCGCT